GTTTTATCCAAATCTCGGTCCCCTAGGCGCCAATAGAGTGGACCAGACGACGTGGTCTAACGGAGGGTTTTGCTCGACCTCTAAGGATGGTATTTTGTGGGCTGCACTGGTGGTTTTTATTCTAGAAATAGGGACAGTTGTCTGACGGAAGGCACAATATGCAACCAGGAACAATTGGAGCACGGAAATTGCGTTCATTGAAGGCCTTGAGAGTGATTTCGTCATCCAATATCTTCGACGGGTAATGAGAGCCAATGGTTACCCGAGGAACTTTGTCAACCATTGCATACGAAGACTACACCAGGGACCAAATCCAACCAGCCCCAAATTTTGGCGGGCCCTTCCGTACCTGAAGAACGTCTCGGAAACCGTCAGTCGTCTTCTCACTCCACTTGGAGTTGTGGTTGCACACAGGCTGGAAGCAACCATTAGGCGCCTAGTCGTGGGGCGAAAAGATCCGCCGCCACGGCAGAAAACGTCTGGAGTCGTTTACCGGATCTGGTGTAGTTGCTGACAAAGCAACTATGTCGGAGAAACTGGGAGATTTCTCCGTATGCGAATTGTCGAGCACGCAGCAGCAGTGAGGCGGGGAGACGCTAACTGTCAGGTGGCGGCACACTCGACGGGACCCAGCCTTATTTTAAAATTTCAAGAGGCCGAAATCCTCGCAAGGGGCGACAACCGCATGAGCTGCGAGCTGCTCGAGTCATGGTTCTCAGACTCGCAATCCATCAATAAGCACAATAACCTCCCGGTACCATATTCCGTGCTGAAATTTTCCCTGGGCAGGGGAATCAGTCACGTGGGGAGGGCGCGGGCGAGCAATTATCACAGTGACAGTGAGCCAGTTTGCGGAGCAATCTTCACACCAGCATCCAGCACGGATGACGAAATCACGGCCATTAACGACTCGGCCTTGGGAGTGTCAGTTCGACTGTCGTTGCCGACGATGTCCACTGTATGCTCCAGGGCGGAGGGGGCGATTTACACGTGAACTAATTTATAGTGGTAGTGGACCT